TAATATTATATTAGAATTACCCTAGTTAAGGAAGTATAACCTATATATTAACTAGGATTTAAGAACGCTATCCTTAGAACGCTATAAATATACATTATAAGCTAAGCCTACGTAATAATAGAGATTAATAGTAGATAAGAGTGTTATTAATAATATAAACTTATAATAGAAAGTTAAAAAATGGAAATTACCCTTAGTAGATGCTAGTAGGAACTACTAGGTTATAAAGTATAAAAAGAAGAAAGAAAGCATACCCTTAGAAGTACCTAGAGAGTATAAAGTATAGATATATATATTTATAGAGAAGAAAGGAAAGGTAAACCTACTAGAATATTAACCCTAGGATTATATAATTAACCTAGAAAAAGGGAAGACGCCACCCTTTAGACTACTATATAGTAAAATAGGAGAAGAACTCTAGAAAGAATATAAATTTATTAAGATAAACCTAGTAAAAGGATATATTAGACTATTAAAGTTACTAGTAGTAAGTCCCTTTATATTTGTTAAAAAGAAGGATAGATTAGATAGACTATATGTTAACTATTAAGTAATTAATAATATAATAATTAAGAATAGATACCTATTACCTAATATCTTAGAGCTTAGAGATAGACTCTTAAGAGTAAAAGTCTTTATAATAATAGACTTAAGAGATAGATACTACCTAATTAGAATAAAGAAAGGTAAAGAATAGAAGATAGTATTTTAATTATACTATAGACTCTTTAAGTACCTAGTAATACCTTTTAGTCTTACTAATGCACTAGTAACCTTTTAAGCACTTATTAATAATATACTCTATAAATATTTAGATATATTTATTATTATATATATAGACAACATTCTTATTTTTTCTAAGAATAAATCTAACTATACTAAGTACGTATAGATAGTACTAAAAGTACTAGATAAGGTATACTTAAGGATTAAACTTAAGAAATGCTAATTTAACGTTAAATAACTTAAATTCCTTAGATATATTATTACTATAGAAGGAATTAAGATAGTACTAAGTAAGATAGAGAGTATTAGAAACTAGTCTATACTAAAAACTATAAAAATATCTAAGAATTCTTAGAATTCTGTAAATTTAATTAATAGTTTATTAAAGATTACGTAAAGGTTATAATACTATTAATAAACCTTACTAGAAAGGACATGCCTTTTAAATAGATAAATAAGTATAGAATATTATTCTAACTCCTTAAAATAGTATGTATAATAGAACTAGTTCTTATTTATTTTAGGAGTAATAAACTACTATAATTTAAAACTAACGTAAGTAATCTCACACTAGGAGTATGCGTAAAATAGAAATAAAATAGTAAATAGTATCTAATAGCCTACTACTTATATAAGTTTAATAACGTAGAAACATGGTATAACGTATATAATAAAGAACTCTATACTATTATTAAAGCCTTAAAACACTAGAGAATCTATACTCTTAGCTGTTTAACGCTAGAAATCTATATAGATTATAAAAACCTACTTAGGTTTATAATAATAAAGGAACTAACACTATAATAATAAAGATGGTTATAGACCACTAGATAGTATAAGTTTAAAATTATCTATATAGTAGGAAAAGAAAATGGATAAGTAGATGCACTTAGTAGATAAAGTAATCTAGTAGGAGAAAAGGTTAAGACCTACTTAGTAATTCTTTATAGAAATAAAAATAGATCTCTTAAACTAATAGTAGAACTTAACTAACTTTTAGTTATAAACTAAGAAGTACTAAAGTAACTATAAACTAAGATTATTAGATAATACTATAATAACCTAATATACGGACACCTAGGCATTACAAAAACATTAGAATTAATTTAGAGGAACTATATATTTAGAGGAATTAAGGAAGCTATAATAGCGTATATCTATAAATGTGTAGACTACTAGAAAAACAAACATAGTACACATCTTAAGTATAGAGAAATATAACTAATTAAGATACTAATAGCACCTTTTAAAGATATTACTATAGACTTTATTATAGGAATACTAGACTTAATTAACCTAGCCACGAAAACCTTATATAATAGCATTTTAGTAATTATATATTAATTTATAAGCTATATTGAATTAATTCCATGTCTAAAGAATATAATAGCCAAAGAACTAGCTTACCTCTTTTAGGATAAGTAGGTTAGACACCATAGCATTCTAAAGATAATTATTAGTGATAGAGATAAGCTCTTTATATTAAACTTTTAGATAATATTTATAGTACTTATTAGAATAAAATAAAAACTATCTACGGCATATTATCTATAGATAGATAGAGAAAAATAGAAAGAATAAATTAAACTATAGAAATATATTTATAAATATACTATAATAAATAAAAAAATAACTAGGTTTTACTATTACCTATGGCATAATTAGCACATAATAATAAAGTATTAATAGTATTAAGGTAAATACCTTACTATACTATATATAGAAAATATCTAAATCTCTTTAACTAACGACTACTAACGAATATTAACGTAAAAGAAGCCACAGATATAGTAGATAATATAAAAAAAATATATAATAAACTCTAAGAAAACCTTAAGAAAGCTTAATAGTAAAGTATTTTATATATAAACTAGAAACGAAAAATGGCACCTTAGCTAAAGAAGGGGATAAAGTATATCTACTTATAAAGAATCTTTAAACTTAGAAGAAAAAATATAAAAAACTAGACTATATTAAGGTTAGACTATTTTATATTTCTAAATAAATATTACTAGTAAACTATAGATTAGAATTACTACTAGATATAAAAGTACACCTAGTATTCTATATATTACTATTAGAACTAGTAGATCCTAAGACACTAGTTAAAACTACCTTCTATTATAGAGCTAAAGAAGAAACTAAATTTAAAGTTAAAAGTATTATATATATAAGAACCTATAAAGGAATCTAATAGTACCTTATTAAGTAGAAAGGATACCCTAATAGTAAAAATACTTAGGAACTAAGAAGTAATCTAGATAACTATTAATAAAAGGTTAGAGAATATAAATAAAACCTTTAGAACCCTATTATATAATAAAGAGGGTAAGGACGTACCTAGCCACTAGATATAGGAGGAATATTTTTCTAGAAATTAGAAGAAAAATTATCTATTACTAACTAGATAGAGGGATAAAGCTCTATAGAACTAGTAGGCTAAGTAGGCTAAATAGAATCTTTATTTAACTTTACTAATACTATGCTTTCTACTATAATAACTTTACTAGTATACTTTTTATTCTATAATAACTACTTCTTTAACTAATTCTCTTTTACTTAAGCTATATATATAGCTTTAAAAGTAGTATCTTACTCCTTTTATATTTTATCTAATTACGCTTCTAATTTCTTCTTCTTAGTAACTAACTGTAAGAACTTATTTTAAGTAATAGTAATATTACACTTTAAATCTTACTTCTAATACTTACTATACTTTCCTAAACTAATATGGACCTTATAAATATAGGCGTATAACTAATAGAATAAATATTTTAACACTATAATAATGCTATAGTTTTTAATAGTAAAAATAAGGTTATAGCAACGCTTTATAGGATAATAGTTAGTAGGCATAATTCTTTAGGGCAAAGAATAAGAAGGGGAGGGATAATATTATAAACTAGATAATAGTAGGGAAGTTTAGGCGCTTATAAAAATAGAAGATATAATAACTAGGATTATAATAAGATAAGGACGTGCTAAGTTACTTAGATAGTAGTTATATAACTTACTTAGCTACTTAGGGTTTCTAAATAACTAAGTAGCTAAGAGTTATTATATAACCTACTTAGTTATTTAGGGCTCCTAAGTAACTAAGTAAGATCCCTATATAGGAATATAAGAATAAATCTTTATACTTATATTTAACCTAAGTTTTAATCTATTATTTAGATTTACTTAGGCCTCCCTTATTAACTTATTACACTTTATAAGATACTTCTATATTAATAAGAACCCCTTCTTCCTCCCCTTAGTAAGTCTTGCCCGAGAACTAACCTTAACCCATTTAGGACTAGCTACCCTCTCTGGATTTAACACCTGACTTAAAAAGTTAAAATTAAGCCGAGGCTATACCCGTTTAGGCATAGTCAGGTCAGCCGCCAATATCCGAAGTCAGCTTGACCTGAGTCCTTATGTAGCAACGTGTCGCAACCGCCGTCTATAAGTGGCAAAAGAGGAAAGCGCATCTTCGGGGAACCCCAGAAGAAATGAGTCGTGCAGCATCTCTGCCTTTGGCGGTATCGGTTCCAATTCGCTGGAACACGCTATTAAACTTTCCGAAAATCATCGTTCGATAAGCACCAATGCGGTCGGACCGAGCCTGGATTGCTCGTGTATAAACCTTGAGATCACTTGCTCTGAGGTGCAGTTCGTTAGAGATGCGTGATTCTGGTAGCACACACACGTCTTGGTGTCTCGAGTCATTATTTGTGAGGCCGCGGAAGGGTTCGCTAGTCGAACCACGAAGATTTCTTCTCGTTCCCTAACACTGACACTACGGAAGTTCCAATGGACTTCTTTTGTAGGGATGTCCAATATCACTAGGACAACAGGGGTTTCCAGTCCAAATCCACTTCAGCGTTCTCTTGTAAGCCCAGGATCCGAAAGATTTTCCGTGGGACGCATCCACCCCACATCATGATTGACTGACTTGCGTTCCTGGAGGATTTCATGCATGTTCATGCATGGTGACATCTCGCTAATCTGCGGACCCGATCCGGATTCGGCAAAGAGGTAGACGACTAGCCAGCCGTCCAAGCCTTCGGTGCAGCCGTACGCACTTTGGGAACCTTCTTCGAACACGCTACTAGTCTAGACCTTGCATGGCATTCGCGGCCCCGTCATGTTCAAGACCCGTTTTCAGATAAAGAACGAGTTCCGTTCTTGTTAGCTGTAAAGATCGTTCCACCTCAGACCATTTCTTTCCCACTTGTTTAACTGAGCCAGGTTGTCTTTTCTTCAACGAAGTCCTACGTCTAAGTTTAGGAGTCATGCCCTTGACATGGAAAGAAACGCGACCAGGACGGTGGGAGCGACCCCAATCATGCCTGGAGAAAATCAATCTCCTCAACCGAAACGTTGATAAAGCACTTGATCGCGACAACTGGGCGAAGACTGCTGTTGCTAAAGTCGAATTCGACTCGAAACTTGAAGATCCTGAGCACGCCTTGAAGCAAGCGTGGAAGCAGGTCCGGTACAACTACCCCGAAGTCGCAGCGTTTCCCTATGAAGGCACCTACATGTATCGGATTGGAAACCCGGAGCAGGTACAGCTATGGGTGTCGGCGACTTTTGTCATCGAGCGCAATACCAGCATCGATGAACTCTTCGGACACCTCCCCAGGAACGAACAGATGATGTGCTATTATCTTCCAGATACCTCAGAGATACTCGTTCGCTCACCACATTATCGGCTTGATGCCCGAGGTGCAATCTTCATTCTCAATTATCTTATCAAATCACTGGCCAACCCGGACCCAGTTCTCATCTTTGGTGGCTGCGCTGGCAATCTCTCTCCAAGTATCGATGACGCGCTCAATATTCCGTTTGAGTACAATGCGAAGATTGAAGAAGCAGCCGCAAAACGACTGGCCTCACTAGAGCCGCACAATCCTCTCATTGAGCTCACGCCTAATGCTAAACCGAATCGTGCGGGTGCAACTAGGCGTCGTTTCATCAGATTGAGCGAAGCTGAAACGAAGTCGATCACCAAAGGAGCCAAGTCCGCAGGTATGGATTACACCGCTGCAATGCACGCCGCTGTGATTGCGGCAGTCGTCCGACTCGCACCGCCTACCGAGGTTCAAAGCTATATGGCTTCATTCCACTGCGACCTTCGCTACCTGATCCCGAAGTCAAGCAAGACTAAGGCCGCCCCGACAGTCTGCACCGACGCGATCACCACTGAGGTCGAAGTCTCCCCTACAACAGACCTAAACTCGTATTACAAGCAACTTGCGCCGGGATACGCCGCCGGATACGCACCCTACCTCGAATCCACTGCTTGCTTCCACGAGCAACTCGCGAAAAAGAAGTACGCTGACGGTAAAGGGTATGAATTTACAGACGGCCAAGCACAACCTCGTCTAGGTCCGCTCGGTATCATCGACGACCAGCTCACTAAACAGGTCAAGGGCGTGGTGCGCGTGAAGGATTTCTGGCTTGGAGGCGAGACTCTGACCAAACGCAAGATGGTGCATAACTGGATTTGGGAGGACCAGATGGTATTCAGTTGCTGTTACAACGAGAAATATTGGGATGATCAGTTCGTGGAGCATTTCCTGCAAACGATTAAGGATGTGCTGATGGAGGAGGTGGCGAAGACGTCATCATCGAGCTTGTCAAGCAAGCTGAAGGGGATGATGCTCAAGTGAAACGTCGTCTTGGTAGGAATGGGGCGGAGTTCAGAGGTTATGATTTTGGGCGCAATATACACCACTGTCGTTTGGAGCGGTCATCTAGCATTGCTTCGGCGTCTCTTATGAAACGTACATAACTCAATTGCTCTAATACAAGTAAGCGGGTCGGTGTCGCATACTGTGTATGTACCCATACAGTCAGGTTGCGGAAACAGTGCGATCGCGCGAGTCAATATTGAGACGCGAGTGATAGCAGGCGGCTCATTGAGTGATAGCTGTGATGATGAGGCACAGCATTATTGACGATCATTTCAAGGGTATGATTCATGAGCTAACGTTTCTGGAATAAGGCTGTGACTGTCGTGCATAACAACCCTGCTGCGCCGCACGTCCTTTCCTGCAGCACTGCGATGCTTTTATGGTAACTTGGGAACAAAAGTCCATTGCAATAAACCTGCCTGATTCAATACGAACGCGTCCATCCAGCTCCATCGGCAAATTCCAAATGCCGAGAACGTGTGCTTCTCCGCACAAAGAGCAGTGCATACGCCATAGATTTACGTGTCGTGTAGCCGTTCTTACGAAATTGCATGCGTCCTAACGGAGACAACATTGAAAATTTCATATCGCATTCGACACATTCTGCATCTGGTATTGAACTGTGGCCGACGAGCCCGACGCCTGAGATTATTAAGAAATACATTGGCATCATCATGATCCCTTAGTCCCAATCTCCTGAGCCCAGGTCCACAGGAATACCCTGGTCCAGGTCGCGCATGATCTCGTCGATGTTCCATGGCTCCCATTTGTATCCCGGCGGATAATTCGGCGGGATGTTAGGGTCCTGGTCGAGCGATACGCCCGCCCTCATGCCCTTGAGGCACTTCTCTGTGCAGTGTCAGCAAGAGTTGGCTCAGGCTGCGATGAATGCACAGCTTGAATACGTACCATAGTTGCCGTACACGTATTCTTCCGGATCATGAGCCCAGACCCACTTAGGATGCTTCGGTTGCGCCTTCTTGGGGTCAAGCTTAACCTGATCACACGCTAATGTTAGCCAGACTGGTTGCATGAACAGTAATCAGTCTTTGGACATACCTTGTTCCAGTCAGTGTCTTGCAGCCGCTCTGCATTTGAGAACCCCAGCTTCTGCGCACACGCACATCTCAGGAAGCGGAGCCTGACATGGGCTTTCACCGCGTCAGGCACGGCTCCTTTGCCGTCCAACTTGACACCCAACTCCAGACAGCTCGCGAGACTGACGGCGTCCTCGATCGCTTGTGTTGCGCCATTGCCTGAACTGGGCAAGAAGCTATGCGCACAATCGCCAATCTGGACCACGCGGGCACTAGGCGAATGCCATTTAGGTTGAGGATTGCGCCAAAAGAGCTCGAAGTTGACGATCGTGTCCGGAGGCGTCAGAGCAATGAGTTTCTTCAAGATGGGTGCCCACTCGGGGGCTGTGGGCGACGTGAGCGACTTGTCCATGTTTTGCAGGACCGATTCGGACGACACGGTATGGTGCCATGACTCTGCCTCGGTGCCGGTCGCATCGTGATTGATTATCCAACATACGGTACCCTCGCGATTGAGTGTGAGGCCGTAGGCTCCCGGACCGAGGAATGTGCGCACGATAGGGTCCTCGCCTTTCATCGAAAAAAACTCCCTTACTTCCGGGTCCTTGTCAAGCACTTCGACAGGGAACACCGCCTGCACAGCGACATCTGTCAGCATTTCACCGCGGTATGAGTATCGCTTGCACTTACCCTCCACATGGCTCGGCCTGAGCTAGCCGCGCGTACTTTCCCTCCCACGATGGCTTGGCTCTTGCTGCCAATGCCATCGGCAGCAATCACAATGTCTGCCTCGAACTTCTCACCCTCGTCCGTCTCCACGCCCGCTTTGTTCTTGTCCTCGAAATATCCCATGACGCGCTTGTTGAACAAAAACGGAATGCCCAATCGCTGCGCTTGGTTGATAAACATCTTATACACAAGTGGCCGCATCTGGAAAGCGCCGGGCGGCGTGTTCGGATCCAGACCAACGGCACGCAACCTCTCGGACACCCTCATGGCGGGAATCATGAGCTCTCCGTCATGCTTGAACGTCTCGAGGTAGCAGGTTTGCATCGAGATCTCGTCATATTCGGAGCGCATGGCTGGCCAGTGCTTGAAGAACTTGGTACCTGATAAACCCATGAAGTACATGTCGCCTGTCAATGTCATGCGTCAACGGCCTTGGTCCTCATCATGGCCAGCTCTGGGACCAAGCGGATGGGAGAGTCCACACATACCCATTGTGTTAATGTCAGGTCCCCGTTCGAGGACCCGCACGCGGTGGCCTTTTCGTACGCACTCGATCGCCGCTGTGAGGCCGGCAAGGCCGGCGCCAACAATCAATACATTGACGCCGGAATCGGGGTAGTCGCCAAACATCATCGCCGTGCCATCGTAGGAAAGGACGCTGTTTGAGCTTGAACGACGAGAGCCATTGCTTGTATACGGACTCGAGCCCACGTACGTTGGCCGAGTCTCTTCCTCAGGTATATGTATGTAACCCATGTTGCCCTCTGTGTCAGCTGCCAAAGGTTATGGCTAATCAAATAAGGAGTAATCAGGGGTGAAGGTATCCGGGGTCGGTAGTGAGTTAATCAGTCGCCCTCCTTTATACTTATTCTATATCGACAGCATGGGCCATACCTTCTTGGTCAGTAAATCTCGCCAAGGCAAGGCCGCACTCGTACCACTGCGGGAGCCAACATGGTGAGCCGCGGTGCTGCATACTCAGCCAGTCATCGCCAAGGTTGACAAGGTCGATGGTCGGTTGGCCCGTCGGACCCCCACATCACAGCTTTCAGAAAAGCAGATGATATGAAAACGGACGTGCGTCCGTGAAGATAGCAGGGCTGACTGTGGACCAAAACAGATGGTTGCGGAGTAGGGCCGCTGGCGCCTTCCGTCTGTAACCCGCATGTCGATCCCCGTTGCAAGTCTTGGTTGACGTATGTAAGAAACATGGTCGTTTCAGACCGGTGGTATCACGCATCTCAGCCGAGTCGGACAAACATTCAGCCCAAAAGGGTGAATTCGGGTGCTCGCAGCATCGGTGCCTGGCTGGACAGTATGCTCTTTCCAATTGTTGATATCCCTGGGAGGATCCTGAGGAATGTTAGAGGCCGTCTTGATGACCGCCACAGCTTGCTCCAGGTATAGTCCAACGCACCTCTATACCACTTTCGAAACCATAAATACTCCACAGACGGACGCTCTCACAGACGCCGAGGACTCCAACGTCATCCGATATACACGCGCAGTATATGTTACGCAAGTGCCGCGCAAACCGTTGGTTTTCACCCTGCATCAACTGTGCCTAACTCTTGCGTTACTGTCACACTGTTCATCGACGCCGTCCGAATGGCATCGCAGGAACACTCGAGGCCAAGAGACCAAGGTTCGGATCCGTGGAGCCGGCGGTTATGATAGTCACTTTCAACAACAGAACTATCGGTTATGTCACATGTGTTAGCGCGTACTACCCGCCCACGTGCAACGAATCGCAAGCTTGCTAGCGTTCATATGAACTACAAAGGTACTACTGCAGTACTGACCGGACCTGCACCCAGCGACATATGCCAAGCTGGATCTAAGGGCCTATGTCTTGGCTACGCGCGCCACTGCATACCTCTGCCCCTGGGCATGTTCCCATACCACTGGGCCCGGCGTGGTGTTGCGCATAGCCAAGCTCAAGTTCCAAAGTCTTGGGAGTTCTGGGCGACCGCACGTGCGGATGGTGGCTTCGGGTCTCCAAGGTGGGATGTCTGAACACCGAAATCTTGAGGGTGTTAAACGCGATCATGATAGGCGCAGCCACGAAACTGAGGCATGCTGCCGTGTGACAACAAACGTGTGCTGGGCTTTAGACATGACATGAGCTGACGACGGCCGTGAGAGAAGCAATCTCTCCGGGCGAATCAATTGTTACCAATCTTCAAGCGAAAGATGCATTCCGACAAAGATATGCATGGGATCTCGAAATGATACACGAGGCTCACATGTCCGGTCCGGTCAGGAGAGGGCTGGCTGACGGGATGTGTGACCCAGTCTGCAATATCCAATTGCGTCGGCTTGCGAGTCTCTCTAGAACTCTGACTGTGGTATCTTTGCTGCCGGGCGGAGAGAGCGTGTCTACCATCAGTGAGCTGGTTTGAACCGTGGGCACGCTCCTTCTAGATTGCTGATGTATTCGGATCGAGCGCACAGGAAGACATTTGGGCTTCCCGTAGGTCACCCCCACAGATGACGCAAGATGCCAAGCGATCATGATATATATTGAAGGAGTATTCCGCTTCGACCTTGCTGTTTACAAGTACAATGGCGAAGGTCAGGCTGAGTAGTATCAACATATTGCAGTGACTGTGAACATCACGCTCATGAACTATACTCGAACTGTGCAGTTTGTTATGCTCACAACGTCATGATACTCCAAATATCAGTTTATGTGCATTGTTAGGTCCCAATTTGCAAAAGTTGATTCACCAAAGCGGTGGTCGACAACAGCGCGAGGAGCACGGAGACTTTTTAATCAGCACCGAACGTCGGAGGAGCCGCTTGATTACAATTTTCGATCCCACAGCAACCCGACGTGATCACACTTACTCAAATATCTTTGAAAACGCAAAGGATCAGTTTGACAAGGCGATTCCTTGTACAGTACTAAAAAAAAAAGAAGCAAAAAGGTTTCAGAGAACTGCGTTACCCCAGGATGGTTAATACGGAAGATCTAGCAAGCTGATATTGTATGGTTCAGGGCGTACAGTGGGCACATTCGCTACCGCTACCCAAACTTCCGTCAAGGAACAGCCGCAGGTCGGATCTATGGAAAGGCTCCAATTGGATGAATTGTACGCCGAATCCTTATGGTACCGATCGGACGTGCCCACAACCCTGTACCAATGAAGAGTAGGGACGGCCAAGCTTTTGTCCTTGACTTTCACCAAGACCTAATCTAGCTCTCCAGACATGCATGGTCATCATAATCTTGATTGCTCTCTACGAGGAAACTCTGAGCACAGCGATGGCCAGTACATTTCCTTTGCACATCGGGTAGCTTGCCCAAACGACTTCAATGGGCAATGCCTACCACTAGAAGAACCGAGCCGGCAACAGCTCTTGAGCTCCGAAGCTCACTCTTGGATAATCACAAGATTCTGACATGCACCAGTCTCATGCGCACTAGGACACATTCTGTCTATAGCAGGCTACCGGAAATGTACGTCGCATATGATGAGGCAGATACTCGTGTGACGTATACCTACGAGGGCGAAACACTTGTGCAGCACGTGTCCTCAAGTACCTGCAATATCAATCTGGATTACTTGCTGATGCTTGGCCGGGCCTGCGATCCGTATCCACCAGCAGTGCATGTGTTACAATACTCAAGTCGATACCAGTGTTCAACAAAAGCTTCCACAAGGCCTTATCATAGGTCTCGGCATGTCCAGATTGACCCTGAGCTACTACTCGAACTACAATCTCTAGCCGATGGGCAAACAGTCCATCAACACTCTCTTCGAAATTTTTGTGCGTTTGTCATGTATCTCGAAGTCGAGCCTATCAAGTAAACGAGGGACAAACTCCATGGCAGACGAAGCCTTGGGTCAAGAGGCGCCATGGACAATGGCTAGCATCACAGATCCCACCTTCCATTCTTCTTCCACGCCTCAGTCAACTCTCTCTTTGTCCTCGGCGGCAGCTCATCTGTCCTCCTCAGTCCGACCAGCTCACCTTTCTCAAAATCCTGTAGCATAGTCAGCACTCCCTTCCTCACCAAGATCATGTACGTATACATACCTCTCTTCGATCCCAATACCCGATGTCCTCCCACGGACAACTCTCCCCCGTCTTCCCCGCGGCACTCGTCCCATCCACCCTATCCACGGCGAGGAAACAGCATTCCTCGCAGGCGGGGCGGTGACAGGAAGCGCACTTGTGGCCGTAGTATGCAGGGGCTTTTACGACATGGTTTTCCAGGGTGGAAAAACAGGGGGCGAAGTGGATTGAGGAGGTGTGGACGTTTGAGTGCATGCAATTGGGCCGACAGCAGCGCCAGCGGTGAATTAGGGGGATGGGTGGTGTGTGGGTGGCGGAGGCTTTGCGTGAGGGCATAGTCAGTTTGCGATAGGTAGTCTTTTAGGGAGAGATGCTTCTCAGGCTCAGGCTGGCCAGTGTAGGAAGGAGAAGTTGCGTGCGCAGGGTGTATGTAAGTATATCGTAGGTGCGATGTGAAGCGAAGGTGTTTGAAGAGAAAGATGACGGTGTAGGTGACCTGTAGGTGAGTGCCATGGTTGGTGGAGACGCGGTAGAGTATTTGCTGCTCAAGGCGTGTGGGTGAATGGGGACTGGTGACGGAAAACGTGAATGTCTTCTGGCTGTTGCGGCGCTATGATGTCGGACTCAACATGCAAATGTGCGAAGAGCACAAACTAGGGACAGTGCCGGGTATGTATGCGTATGTTTGGGTCCTGTATTAAGACGCTTGCGCCCATGTAAACGCGTTGCATCCTATCTAGCACGATAAACGAAAACGGTGCTCAAGGTTAGCTTGAGAAATAGGGAAGGCTTTTGCGGGAGGCTAGATGACTACTGAGCGCTGTTGGCATCACCGTGCGACGACTTGCACAGGAATAGGAAACCGCGTGAATGGTCAACATGGCGCTTGCCGTATTTGTCAGTGGCACGGCTCGTGTTCAGGCAGGCACGATCGCCGCCCGTTTCAGGGGCGCCGTCAATGCGGGACATGGGAACACCGATGTACACATGGAACTGTGAGACGACGCCATCACGGTACTGTGGAACGGTGCCCATCGCGATGGAGAAAGTGGTGGTGCAAGTCGACGTGCACTCCCTACCTTCTCGAAAACACGTGGAGCGGGTGGGTGCTTGCGCTTGCGGGCCCTGGACAACTGGCGGGGCCAGGGCGTGGCTCGGTGGAGCGCCTGAACTCGGTGCTGCTCTGCTGCTGCTCGAGGCCCAGCAAGAGAGACAGGCAGAGACACGGGTGCGACCGTGGAGAGGGGAGTGCTGGTGGCCACGGTGCAGGACAGTCCTCGGCGCTCATAGCGCGCGCATTCGTAGAAGCAAGCCGCAAGCAACAACAGGCAGCGCCCTGCAGCATCGCCATGGCCAAAGCGGCAACGCTGCCGCCGAACATGATTAGCGGCCCTCCGCCCTCCTTCTCCAGACCTGCCAGGGCGGCCCACCACACGAGCCCGCGCGCACTCATCTCTCGCCGCTCACTGCGCACTTTCCGAGCCTCCTTTTCCACCGCGCTTCTTCCCTTCGTTGTCCCTTCTTTGGACGTTCCCCCGGATACATAGTTAATAATTCCCCACACGCTCGCTACTCGCCCCTCGACCACAACAATCAGGGGAACCCAGCACCTGCCTCATCGACCCCATTCGCTCAGCGCTCACGACTGCCGTTTCAGCACATTACTTGGAAGGCCATCCGCATACACTCGCTCTCGCAACCCTTTTCGGGCGGGCGCCTTGCACTCGTTGACAGCTGCACTGCGCTTAGCCACCTTACACGACAGCCTGCACCCGCGCACACGATAACGGCCGGCCATGGTCCGAAACGCCTTCACAGCCGCCGTTGCGGCGGCAGCTCTTGCTGCCTCCGCCTTCGCCCAGACATGCACAAGGGACTCCAAGTGCCCCAAGGACACGCCTTGCTGTGGCCGTACGTCTCCTCGCACATGCACAACCTACAGTCTTGCTGACAGACGCAGTCTATGGCGAATGTGGTGTCGGCGCCTTCTGCTTGGGAGGATGCGATCCTACCATGTCGTCCACCTTCGACTCCTGCGTGCCGAACCCCGTCTGCAAGAGCGGCACCTACAACTTCAACGACCTGAACGACGTGCAGTCCATCGACAAGTACCTCGGTGACAATTCCAAGATCAACTGGCAGGCCCAAGGCAACCCCGTCAAATATCCGTCTGGCGGTGTTGCCCTGACCATGGCTGAGGGCACCGTTGGGACGCTGCTGGCCTCGACCTTCTACGTATGGTACGGCAAGATCTGCGCCACCATGTCTACCAGCCAGGGTCAGGGTGTCGTCACGGCTTTCATCATGATGTCCGATGTCAAGGACGAAATTGATTTCGAATTCATCGGCAATGATGTCGGCAATGCGCAGTCTAATTGGTATTCGCAGGGTGTCACCAACTGTAAGTTGTGAGACCTCCTCGCCTGATATTGGTCTAACTTGGGTTGCAGACCTGAACATGGAGGAGCTCAAGGTTTCCCCCGATACCGTATCCAAGACGCACGAATACTGCGTGGATTGGTCCGAAGACGAGCTCAGTTGGTCCGTTGACGGCAACAAGGGCCGCACCGTGAAGCGCTCAGACTCCTGGAACGGGACTGCTGGCCGCTTCGACTTTCCCCAGACCCCTTCGCGCATCATGCTTTCGCTCTGGCCTGCCGGTCTTCCGTCAAACGGCAAAGGAACCATCGACTGGGCTGGCGGTGAGATCGATTGGAATAGCAAGTACATGACCAACGGCATGTACGCTGCTCTTGTCACCAAGGTTACCGTCGACTGCTACGACGCTCCTTCTGGTATCAAGTCGACTGGATCCAAGAGCTACAAGTACACCGACGAGAACCCCACCAACAATACGGTCGAGATGACCAACGATATCATTGTCTTGGGATCCCTCATGGACACCGGTGACGAGCCTGGATCCACGGCCTCGGCCTCGGCATCCAAATCCAGCTCCGCCGCCAAGGCGACTAAGTCGGTAAACATGGTCCCTGGAGGAAATCCCGGTGGTGGTGCCCGCCAGGAGACTCCCGTCGCTGCTTCCAACACAGCTCAAGCTACGTCCGGATCTTCAGAAAGTGGTTCATCGGGCAGCAGTGAAAGCAGCGGCTCAAGCAGCGGCAGCAGCGGTAGCAGCGGTAGCAGTGGCTGGTCGCAAGGCGACACTGGCGCCACTGGCAACACTGGTTCAGCACCTAGCCTCGCCAAGATTAGTGGCTCTACGATTGCCATTGTCTTTGCCATCTTCGGCCTTCTTGTCCTGTAGAAGGATCTCACAGTCGGTTTATTTTCGGCTTGCCAATGACCCCGATCATGAGCACACGTTCCTTCGCTACCTAGCCATTCTTGCCCATCCTTACTATATCCCTGGTGTTCCGGTCTGTCCGAAAAACCAACTTCCATATTGTTCAGTTTCTTCCCAGGAGCATTGGAGTCGGCGAGCGAGCGGAATCCTTGACTGCTGAAGCGAGTATCTACATGTTCATAATCGCATTTGGAATAAGTTAATGTCAACGTTGGATCGCTAGGACCTTACGTAGGAAACGGCTTTCTTAGCATCACTCCTTTGATATTGTGAATATTGCGGAGGTGAGGGGACATGGGCGGCGTTGATAGTGAGAAATGAAGTGTGTATACGCTAGTTTGGGTTCTCTGCTGTGAGTTTGTCTACGGCTTTTGCAAGCTATAGACGGTGCTGGCGAATGCGATAGCATCGACTCATGGTTTTGCCCAGGGTGTACCCCCACAACGACCTCGGGTGTTGGCAACGACGCTGATTGAGCGGGGAAGTACCCGTAGCTGAAGCGTCCGGCAGACGTTACTTTTGACATGGCAAGTGCGCGATGAAATTTACAAGGCTGTTTCGTTGGCATGTTCAGCCCATACGTGTCGGACGCTATATCAAGTGTGAAGAGTCGGCAAACACGTACGCTGGTTGTCTTACAGCCTTAATGTTCTCGCCGGGCGAAACGATTCTCATGGCTGGCTAGAGATGCGTGTCTGCGTACTCAATTCGCCGGTTGTGAATTTTGGGCATTAACAGGGTCAGATACGAGGTTGCTGTTAGCGTTACCGTTTAGATGGTGAAGTGTGGATGGCGGGCCGCGGTATGCGGTGGCACGTTCGAAGAGCTGGAGGAGCTGTGTTGCTTCAAGCACTGAGCTACTTGGGCGTGGACTTGTGGTCGTACATATTAAGGATGAAAAATATGCGACAGCGCGTCGAGAATTGAGTCGGAAGCTATGTGGATTGTTAATCCTAGGTGTTGAGTTGTCGGGGCGTGGCTGAACGCCTCTCGTGGAGATGCAAATGGAGATGGTGAGCAGGCAGTGGCCTGATGACAGTCGTTGGACGTAATCGGTGTCACGAGGCCTAGACCTTGGCATGGGTCATATGTGTCACTAGCTAGCATCATTGCTCATAATCAATACATACAGTTCGTATACACTCATATTTGGTGAGCATAAGCGATCACACGTTGCCGATGGACTCAGGAACCTTTATGAGGTGTTCAAGTAGGTATGCTATTCGGTATAGCCTTCATGTCGGTTTCGCGGACGCTGTTGTAGTCAAAGAGTGCGTCAGGAAGCGAATGGTAAGATCAAGAGGGTGTATTTGACATCAGACTTGTATTTGAGCACAGTCATAAGTCTGCGTTGCCACATGTTCTGAGCAGCTATATGATTCATAGAGCTCCTGAAATTGGGACAGCTAAGTCTGTCAGTCATATGTACTTGTTTAGAACTGACGCGTACGATGAGCACACGCAAGTTATGTTAGACGACTGCGTCGAGTCGCTGTGCGGAGCCAAGAAGGTACAAATAGGCCTACATAAGGACCCTTTTGCATTCCCTCACCAACTCTTCCATTACCAATTTCTTACAAGCACCGTCCAAAGCGATAGAGCACGTTTCGTTCCAGTGGCATACCTTCCGCACAGCATCTCAAAGAAACAGACAAACGTACCAGGGAGCCGAACCCGCAACATGGCGAACCGTTACAATCCATACACAGTGCGAAAACAGCCCGCAAAACAATTGGGCGTATCTGACCCCAAGAATTGGGCCCATACGCCTGGGAGGTGGGTCGCCTTCGGCGCCACTGCCGAGCAAGACCCACCTTCAACCTCTAACTGCTTCGTCGAGAACACCAGTGGCAGTGAGGAATGCTTCAAATTTGACGTCACCGGCACACCATACTACCGTTTTCAGTGCACACCTCGGGCCTGTGGCAACCCCAAATGCCAGGGCAACAGCAGGGTCCTGATGAACTTCACGCCTCCGGGGTGGGACCTGGGTCACCCTGGATTTGGTGCGTACGGTAACCCGATGAATCCGGATTATCAGGGGACAAAGGACCAGGGGTTCTTTATTGAACAGGACGGCCAGTTGGTGTGGAATAGTGCGAAGTGGGGAGCTGAACAGCCGCCAGGATGGGGTCATTAGGCCGGGGATGCCATGGTTAGTGAGTACGGAGGACGAGAACGATGTCATTCGAAGGAGAGCGCCAGGCTTTTCCTGATCTTTGAATTTTTTTTGACGGCTTCTCGTCCCTGGCTTTGAAACTGACTACTTTCATTGTTCGAAATTGAAATCCTGTAGCTATTTGCTCATGAATCCTACGCATATGTTTGCTTTGCCACGAGACAATTATACACTTGAGCACACATTGCATCTCGGTCTTTGTCCCAGGTCAACTCAGGCGGACTAATAATTCAGTCCTGATAATCTAGCCTACGGCTTTTGGTATCGTCGGAGTCTGTGAATGCAGGCAAATTCGTCCATCTGAGACGGCAGGAAAGCAACCGAGCTCAACTTATAGGAACTTTTATCGAGGAAAGGAACTGTTCGGGTCACTGTCTATAATATAATACGTTGGGCATATGCGATTGGGATTCCCTTTGCAATCATTACTTCTGCATCGACATCTGGCGACCACATCAACCCTGGTGAGCTTTTGTGCACATACTCTCCTGCCTCAATCACTGACGTCTTCCAGCTATAACTCTTTTGCTTTGCATTCTGCCAAGGTTTCCCATGGTAGAAAGTCCGTACTACATATTTGCAGAGATATTTGGAGCCTTCGCAGCCGGCTTGACCCTCATGGGACAGTATCATGAGCAGATACCGGCCTTCGCTGCGGAGTCAATCTCGGAAGGGAATGGGATCGTCTACAATGGTGGACCTGCGAGTATTATTTGCAGTTTCACTGGGCTCACTCAAAACAACCTTGGACACCTCTGCATGATAGAATTCTTCGTCGACAGCTTCATCGTTAGAACAAATGCATTCACCATTTTGACGTAAGTTCACCCAAGTCTAGGGTATCATAATTTGGGCGGCGCTTGACCCCGCCACCCCATTCATCACTCCCGCATCAGCACCTGCCGTAATAGGTCTTGCATATGGAAAGCACGTTCATGCCTTCCCTTCCATCTTATCACTCACTGGCAGTCGAGCAGCATGATTTGAAGCTTCGCCATCATCATCATGTCCACCAATCTAGCGCATGATCTCGGTACGGTGGCGAAGCGTCTCCTACAGGAAGTGCAGTCGGATCGGTATCCTAGTAGACGTTCTAGCGTCCTTCTTCGCCACCGCATACTACGAGATGCTTATGCGGGACAATCTAAAGAAGCTTGACCAGGACATGCTGTGCATGTTGATGAGGAAGAGGGAATGCAGAGGCACTCGACGAACACGAGGACATTGGAGATGGAGACTGGCGCGACGGCTGTGGCGAGGCAACCAGAGGAATCAGGCTTGATGTGAGAAGGAACAATTGAATTAAGGAGGCTATTCGGGCGCGCAATAGGCACTTACGTTGGTCGCCGAGGTTAAAGGTGGGTTTTTGTTGACGTATTATAGCAGTGTCTGACGAAACTGTAGAATCATGTTCAGTAGCAATGTTCAAAGAGCCGCATGCAGCTGTGCAATGCGAAATGATAATCGCCGACGCCGGTCTTCGGCATCGGACTTTCACCATGTCGGTCTACGACCACCACCGCGACCGCGAGTCATGGTTCCAGCATTGTTCTCCACCGTCATGCCCCAACAGTCATCAAATCTGCCTTCTCGTGGTTTCGCGCCACTTCATGATGTGTGCATCGCTCATGTTGGGCCGAAAGTTCGGATACCGGCGGATTTGTGAATCGCCCCCAAATGGATGCTCGTACCTGCATAGACAATGCTACCAGCGTAAGAAACACTACTACGCACGACACGAAATCACTTAATGCGTCACTAATCAGCAAGTAATCTGAGCCACAGCACGCATACCCTGCTCGATCCGAGCTGCAATCATTTGAACATCTGTCGATCATGGAGCCACCATACACTTGGACCAATCTATGATATACTGTTGTTATACGAGCCTGATCCTAGCGCTCGGCTCATTTCACGTGGTTTTGGGTTGTTGTCCTCGGACTTGAGTAATCTGCACATCGCCTCTTAATCATGCAAGTTCTCCATCGCAAGTCTGGTTTTCATTTCCCTTTTTATTCTATCTAGCAAAATTTCCATTCGTTGATAATACCCTTGATGCATCTAAATATGGGGTCTCCCCTTCGTTCTCTTATATTCATCGCGACCTTCTGCAGCGCTGTTGTGCTGGTTTCTGCTAACTCGGTAGAGACCTCCTTTTCGCCCAGGCAGGCAACAGCGGGCTTCACATGCTCTTATCCCGGATACCAGAGCTGCAATAGCAAGAAAGAGAGAAGTTGCTGGGTTAAGAAGAGTGGTAAAATTTACAGTATTGACACTGATTACGAAGATGACTTTCCGATTGGCATCACAAGAACTGTAGGTGGCATTCTCTATAGTCTCATATACTTCCCCCTGTCTTCAAACTTCTACTCTAACTTAGATCAGTTTAACTTGGAAATAGCCGAGAAAGTAGTAAGCCCTGATGGCTTCGCAAAGGTTGCACAAGTGGTGAACGGCCAATTTCCTGGCCCGGCCATCGAAGCATGCTGGGGCGACACGATCGTTGTGAATGTCAAGAACACGATCAAGAATAACGGTACCACGGTGCACTTCCACGGCCTTCGCATGTTCCACGAAAACAACTTTGACGGTACCAACGGTCAGTACAGATGATAGGCTTGAAGACATTACATGCTGACAGAGCCAGCTATCACTCAATGCCCTATTGCTGAGGGTGATACGTTTACCTACAAATTTCAGCTCAGGCAATATGGACACAGCTGGTATCATTCACACTACAGCTCTCAGTACGGCGAAGGGACTTTTGGCCCAGTGATCATCCACGGACCCTCGACAGGCAATTGGGATGAGGAGATCGATCCGATTATGGTGCACGAATGGCATCATGCTAGTGCTTACGACGCCTTCTACGAGTCGATGACCTCTCCAGCACCACCCAAGGCTGACCTTATAACGCTCAACGGCATTGGTCGCAACAATGAACTCGGCACGGGCTCCTTTTTCCAACAGACATTCGAGCAAAATAAGAAGTATCTTCTTCGAATTACCAACAGCGCCATCGACTTCCATTTCCACTTTTCGATCGATAACCATCTGCTTCAGGTTGTCTCTGTGGACTATGTGCCCATAAAGCCTTTCTGGACAAATTCGCTTTCGGTCGGCATTGGCCAGCGTTACGGTGTCATTGTTCATGCCAATCAGACGGCTTCTACCAATGGAAAATACTGGATACGCACAGAGTACTTCGATGGCAATGTTCAGGATGCCACCTTTTGTCAATTTCCTCAACAGAACTATCCGCCGAACCAAACTGATACACAACGTGTGGGTATCCTGAGTTATAAGGGTTCAGGCTCTGGTGACCCCAAGACATCGAGGTGGCCTGTAAAGGTTGGCTGTAAGGATCCTGTTTTTGAGCCTCACCTTGAGTGGAATGTGACGCCCCCACAAAACGATGTGCTCAAGAACGCGCTTTATGTGGGAATTGATAGAAGCAAAGAGGTTCATGGCGCATTCCGTTGGCTGCTTGCAGAGCAGCCTCAATGGCTCAATTACTCCAATCCAACGCTTCTGAATTTGGGTAATACGACCTGGATCTCTGACTACGTTCTAGAGCCATGTAAGCTATCGACAAATCGTCATTTCCATTGCAGATCTGATACTTTTCGGCAGACTCCTACAACGATCCTGAAGGTTTCGTCTACTTCATCATCAACTCAGGCGGCGGCCCTAGCAATCTCGTTGGCGTATGTTCTCAATATGATTTACCCTTCGCGATACTCCTTAGGTTCGCATCTGCTAACTTTCACTAAGGGCACCCACCCAATGCATCTTCATGGCCACGACTTCGCCATTCTCTCGCAAGGTGAAGGTCCCTTCGATCCAGCAAATCCTGTGTATAATACAGCCAATCCGCCTCGCCGGGATACCGCCATGCTCCCGGCAATGGGCCACCTCGCCCTCGCCTATAAGACCGACAACCCTGGTGCTTGGCTTCTCCACTGTCACATCGGCTGGCATGCCGGATCGGGTATGTCACTTCAAATCCTTGAGCGACAGAAGGAGATCACAGCATGGATTGGTGGCTCCGCTGCTTTTGAACCTGCGAAGAGAGGCTGCAAGAACTGGAATGCCTTTTTGGCCAAACATAAAGATGACCCGAATGTCTTCAACCCGGATAACCAGGATGATTCAGGCATATGAGAAGCTTGTATTTATGCTTGATCTTTTTGTATTCACTTTGTTGCGTTACGGGAGGGACGTGTGAGGGAGCTACAAGCATTCAGAACATTAGACGAGCATTTACATAGGACTTTTCGGTTACCACAACAACAGCGGGAATTTTGACCTTCATAAGCTCGCCGCCAGCGTTGAGCAAACATCCTCTTACTGTACATGTATCTATTTAATATTTTACTCGGAAAGATTATTTGTGAGGTCTTGGTCTTTGCGAAACTCAGAGATTGTGTTACAACTCGTACTCGTACGACCGATTCCTAATAATAAAGCCCCGTAGTCTCGCCGTATTTACCGTTTCGGAGCTGCGTACAGTTCCAGAAGCTCGCATCAGCCTAAACATACTCGCATTCGTATACGCGTCTTCAAAATTGGTTTCGCGAGATTGTTTCACTCCGAGCCACTTCAAACCTCGGCAGGGCGTATGCTGACGTGTAGTGTGCATACCCATAATGTAGAAGCACCTTTCAACTGTGTCGCTGTTCGCGGCCGCCCTACAGATTAAGAAATGTACTATAGTAGTATGGTCTCAATTTGTGTACAATAGTATAGAAAATGATCATTTAGCAATTCCTTGTAAACTGCTATTATAGCAGTTGAGACAGCTTACTAAGGGGTTCTATTAGCTGCAGAGAGGTATCCGTGGTTAGCCAAGTGAATTGAAGCTTTGAGCACTTTAGGATCTTATACCTTTATCGTCACCATTGCTTATACCTATAGCCAGCACCCACATAGGCCATCGTATAGGTATTTTATAGCTACCTAAGAATACCTACGCGTATAAACTTTGCCTAAATTACCTAAGGATTATATTTTTAAAGTGCTAGTGTAGGTGCTTATTAAGGTATTTGTTAGGATCTAAGGTCTAATAGATAGTAGGATAACCTATTATATAGTAAGAGCCTCTAAGTAAGTACGTATACACTATAGGTAATACCTATTTAGGAGTTAGGGTGCTTTAAGAAGGTTATATAACTACTTTCTAGTAAGTACTCTTTAGAGAGTGCTCCCTAGTAAGCGCTCTCTAGTAAGTAGCTATATATAACTAAGTATATAGGAATAGAAAAATTACCTTAATTCTTATATTTAACCTAAGTTTTAATCTATTATTTAGATTTACTTAGGCCTTCCTTATTAACTTATTATACTTTATAAGATACTTCTATACTAATAAGAACCCCTTTTTTCTTCCCTTAGTAAGTCTTACCTAAGAACTAACCTTAACCTATTTAGGACTAGCTACCCTTTCTAGATTTAATATCTTAAACACCCTTAATATAACTATAAGAACTCCTACTTCTTCTATAGCTTTAGATAATATTACTATTACTCTAATAGGTAACTCTAAGAGTAAAGTATATAAACCTAATTTATATTATAGTAATAGAAAGTATACTAATATCTAGCTTCTTTAGTTAGACCTCTATTTCTTTAAACTTAATAAATAACCTAAAGATAAATAAAAGGTTATCTTTATAGCTACGTATATATAAGGTAATACTAGAGAATAGATTTAACCCTATATAACTAAGTATCTAGAAATAGACTATAATAATAAAGACGAAGTGTTACGGCTACTATACTGTAACGGAATTATAGGACTTACGTTAATAATAGTAGTAACTAATTAGATTATATAGGAGAAGAATATAATTATAGGTTAGATACTAAGCATAATATAGGCACGTAAGTAAGTTACGTAATTAGATCTATAGATCTATAGAATAGAGCTATAGAGCCTAGATCTATAGGATTTATAGGTAGAGCCTATATGTAATGGGGCCTCTAGGACTCTGTTACTAGCCGTGGCCCTATTGGGGTTCTGGTGAGAGATGAGTAGCGTGCAGGGTTGTATAGATTACGTGTGGTGTGAACGTTAATTAATCACTACTATGAGAGTATGTTGCCAAAAGCTTAATAGTAATCTTCCGCGAGGAAACTAGATGCAGATAACTGTATTATAGATTAATAATAAAGGCTTACCTAGTGGTAATCCATTATCTCTATATACTGCTATCTAATAGTGGCTCTATAGGCTCTGCCCATAGATCCTATAGATCTAGGCTCTGTGGCTCTATTCTATAGATCTATAGATCTAATTACGTGACTCCCTTACGTGCCCATATTGTGCTTAGTATCTAACCTATAATTGTATTCTTCTCCCACATAATCTGATTAGTCGCTGCTGTTATTAACGTAAGTCCCATAATTCTATTATGGTGTAGTAGCCATAACACTATCTCCCCCTTCTAAGTCTTTGGCCTAAAGATTAATCTGTTATAGGGGTGGTGCTATATTAGTGGGGCGAGCCCTATTATAAGTTAGGTTGTTGTTGCCCTCCATACCTTCTTGTAAAACCAACGAACGACTCACGCTTGCTAATAAAATTAGTTGTCGCGGATTCCTTGCTATGCCTTGCTCTTACTATAATTAGTTAAAAATTCTATGTAAGCTTTCTCCGCATAATACGCCTAGGCGTCCCGCTTACAAAGCTTATGTTTGTTCGAATGTCTGTGGTTCTTATAATATTAATAGCATTTTAGTGGCTAAGAGTATATTATCTACTACTATTGTTCTATCTATACTAATTATTCGTAGTGCGTAACACTGGTTGCTCCCAAGCTAAAATTTAAGCCGAACTTGTCGAGGCTGAGAAAGCTTAGGAGGAGATTCTGGATGCCCTTACTACTACCTAAGCGAAGGTATTACGGTTACGGAAATAGAAGGAGCTTCTTAATAAGTAGGAGGATTATTAGTTGGCGTTTCTAGAGGCTGAGCTAGATTAGGAAGAAGTAAAGCTAAAGGCCGCTAGTCTGTAGAATAGTCCTAAAGAGGGTAAAGTAGTTTCTTAAGACGCTGCTTATACCTTCTCTAATAGTGGCGTTCTTTATAATTTGCTATAAGGTGGTCTAACTCTTAGTCTAATATCTCTAGGCTTTCTTTAAGAGATTGGTTTGACCGAAATTCTTCTAACTTCTTAGGGTAGTTAAGATTACTTTCTAGTTTCTAGGTGTTGTCCTATAGGTTCCCTTTTCTATTGCGTCCTAGCCATTTAACCTTATAGTAGTTTTAACTGTTTACTAGTTAGTGTTTATTAATGCTTACCACTTCCTATTCTTCTTGCTGTTCTCTGTATGTGTCTGCTTTATAAACTGTAGGTTCCGCGTCTTGTGGTGCCTTTTCTAGTAAGGCTACGTAGAACACTGGGTGTATTTTCATGTTATTTAGGAGGCGTAGTTTAAACGAAACTGGGGTAATCTATTTAAGGACCTCGTATGGTCCTATCTTTAGATAGTCTAGTTTATTTAATAGTTGTTTACTAGTAATGTTTTTTTGTAGTAGCCAGACCTTCTCTCCCTTCTCTAGCGCAGGCGTGGGCTTGTGCTTAAGATTGTAGTATTTACCCATCCTTCCTTACAGGAATATGGTATCTTACTAGAGTTGGGTGTGGATTTATATAATTTCTTTTGCCTAATCTTCTCCGTCTGCGCTCTAGGATCCCATTGTCCTAGGCACTTAATAAGCTGCTGGGTTAAATCTATAGTTTACGAAGAATGGTGAGACTCTAGTAGCACTGTGTTGTGAGCTATTATAGGCTAATTGTGCCATGGGGAGTAACCCCACCTAGTTATTTTATTGGTAGTTTAGGTAATACCTAAGGAATTGTTCTACTATCTAGTTTATTCTTTTGGTCTGGCCATCTGTTTGTGGATAGTATGCCGTAGACATGCTATGTTTAATACCTATAAGGGCGAATGCCGTCTGCTAGAATTTAGATGTGAAGCGTATATCTCTATTAGTAATAATCTTATTAGGGGCACTGTGCTATGCTATTATTATAGAGGTAAACTAGAACGCTATATATTCTGCCTTACTAACTTCCTTATGTGGCAAGAAGTAAGCGTACTTAGTTATTTTATTAATAACAACCATTACTCCGTCGTATTTGACTTTATTATCTAGGTCCTTAGACTTTAGTAATCCTATTATAAAGTCCATTATAACAACTCCCTATAGTCTATTTAGTACTTCCATGGGTTGTAATTACCCATACAGTGCGTGCTAATTTGGTTTATTTCTATGGTAGTCTATGCAATCCCTAAGGACCTCCGTAACTATCTGCCAGGCTTAAGGGAAGTAGTAGTCCCTTATTAGTTATTCTAGTGTTTGTTTAATTCCTTAGTAGCCGTGTACTGACACTTTATAGAATTATTATATGAATTCTCTCTAGATCTTTACTGGAATGAAGATCCTGTTAAAGACCTTATACACATCGTCTTTGTACTTTATTCCTGCTAGTAAGTAGCTTATGCTTTCCTTATTAATTGCAGTTTCCTTCTAGATCCAATTAAGCCACACGCTGGCTTATGTTTCTACTATTACTGTAAGCTTAGGTGCGTTGTATACAATAGTACTATTAGCGTTAAACTTAAGTAAGGCTCCTAATACCTCTACCTTTCCTTAGAGGTCTAGTTACCTACTTAGGGTATTAGCTCTAAGGTTTTCCGTTCCTCTAGTATGTATAATCTTAAAGTTATACGTTAATAAGGTCTGTGCCCATCTTACTTGCCTAGGGGTGAGGGCTTTGTTAGTTATAAATCCTATTAGGTTCTTATAATCTAAGAACACAGGTGTCTAATATTTAGCTTCTTAGAGATACGTTCTCCATTCCTTAAAGGCTTTAACTATTGCTAATATTTCCTTATTATGGATATTGTAGTTGAGCTCCGTAGCCTTTATCTTTTGGGAATAATGGCTGCATGGGTGTTTCTCGTCTATTTTTAGGTCTCACTAGAGCAAGTATGCTCCTATAGTAAAATTTGACGCGTTAGTTTTAAGTATTACTAGGTAGCGTGGGTTAAAGATCTATAGAATAGGTTCCTTTACGAATTCTTCTTTTAGCTAATCCATTGCTTATTAGCACTCGTCTGTCTACTTAAAAGGGACTTCCTTCTTAGTTAACCTTG